GGATATGTTGAACAAGTACTGATTCCTCTAGCTCGGTCATTTTCCGTGAATTGGCTAAAATATCGCGTCGTGAAGGTATACCAAGCAAACGTCGACCTAGCTTCCGGTGGTCTACAGAATAGGTCCTGGCAGCAGCTCGAGCACGTAAATTTGGGTCTTTTTGCATAGCTTGGATAGCTAAGACTAACCGGCTTTCCTCATTTTTCAGAGGCATCCTTCGTTGTAGAGAAATTTAATATTTCGTGGAGGTGTGGTGGGGTCGCCGGGTTTTGGCCGGTTCGCTTGTTTGGCCGGTTCGCTATACATGCACGTTAAATATATTCCTACTAAATAATAAGTTACTAATAAAATAATAAAAGCCTTACTTTAATGATCCTTCGAATCCTTTTAAAAACAACTTAGTATTTTAGATTAGTAGTTAATATATAAGAGAATATAGATTTAACGCTTTTATAAGAAATATAGATTTAGTTCTCCTATAGAAGTATATAGATAACCTTTATAAGAGATAAATATCTTAGAACCTAGGAGGAAAGGAAGAAAGTCTAGATAGCCTTATTATTTCCTATTTAGGTTATTTATATTAGATTAGTACTATATAGGAGTATTATAGTAACCTGGTATTTACTTAGTTATTACTAAACCTTATATTTAATACTAACACTATAGCTAGTCGATTATCTTATATTAATATAAATAATTATCCAAACCACTCTACTATATTAGAGACCCCTCTACGAGTAAGAGCCCGTCTAAAGAAGAAGGTCCGGAGGCTCTGGCCGCGACGGATCCGCTTCAGTTATTTTGCTCGCTTGCTTGTTGTTTCGCTAAGTCTGGATTCGCTCGTTATCCTCTCCCTGCTTTGCTTTATTTACGCTTTGGTAGTTAAGCCCCAACTGCCCTCAGGAACTTGTTCGAGGCCACCAAGCGGGCAGCTGAGCCTCGTACACGACATCAGAAGGACACACTATAGATTGTGACGGGCTTGATCCGTAGAGTTCGCTAATACTAGCTAGAGTTCAGACTTGTAGAAGTACCGTATACCCTTAGGGTGGGCTTTACGCCTAGCGGCGTAAGACAAATAAATAAATTCCTAAAGTCACTCTCCTCTCTCCACCATGAGATTCAAGAGGAGTGGATGATGGCAGTAGTTGTAGTGCATGTATGTATTTTAAACAAGTTCGTTCTTTACCTTTGTATCTGATTTTGTTCTGTCTATTACTAATTTAGTAGAACCAAGCATGGCATAGTCATCAACCTTATTTTTTCTACATCAACAACAACAAAACGGAGACTAAGCGAGCTATCCCTGGTATTAGGAATTAAGACTTTTACGCAGCTGGCAGTGGAATTTGTAAGCAAGAAAAGAGGGTAAGGATGTACTGTGAGTGGATAAGAATGTCCATCTTTGGCAGCTTTGGCAGGCGCCATTCTACCTGGTAGATTTTTGGTCCATCGTGAAGAGTGGCCATACCTGCCTTACTCTGTACTTATTTTCGCATACCTAAATACAGATTAGTTGTTGGAAAATGAAAAGATGAAGATGAAATGTACCTCGCTCAGTTTTATTGCGATAGTACTATACCTATATTTCTATAATTTCTTTAAGTGTGTCAAATAGCATGGTATTTATAAAATCAACTTTTCGTTTGATGGTAGTAAAAGGATTAAGGCCCGGTAATCCCTTGTCTAGCTTAAAAATAAATAGCTAGTTTAAGTATATTTTTTAACCACTAACTATAATAAAGTATTTTATACTACTTATTATCTAGATGAGTATCTTTACGTGTAATGGACCTTTGAGTTCCCTAACAAGAAGTTTAATATAACTAGGGGAAAGCTTGGGACAGAGTAATACGTAGCAGCGTCCCAGATTTTCCTTAATATGAAGGCCTTGTAACTGAAACAAGTAATAACACTAAAATTATTACCACCACCTCGAAGCACTAACAAAAGATACCCATTTTCATAAGAATTCACAATATGAACCTCTCCAGCGGCGCAAATAAGTTCATAATCAAGGATCTTCCCATTTCCAACTTTATCCATACAAGTTACCTAAATTATCACGTGACCCTCTCGCTAGAGAAAGAATTACTCTCGCTGTACCCAAATTAGCGAGTTGTAACCACTATTCGATCGATATTCATAGAGCTCAAAGGTTCTTTCAACATTGTGACACTGACATATTAGAGGGCACTGCAGGGGTTCAAGAATGCTCAAAACCGCATCATCACCACGCTCCACAATTCCCAGCGATGTCACGGTATGAGACAGAAGATCTTACTGTACGTGCTGTGCCTCATCCATATCAACCTCAACCACAACCTCAACCACAAAACTCACATCCCCATCTCTTCTCCCCTCTTCCCCCCCAAAATACGAATAAAAAAACACAATGCTAACCCTCCACCGCGGATTCCTAATCACCCTCCTAGCAATCTTCTACCAAACCATCCTCCACAAAGTCCTCTTCCTCCAAATTGGAATAGGAAGGACGGTGCAAAGGATCGAAGATTTCCCGTCCATGTGTCGAAGACTCTTTCATCCGCTCTTGGAGAGCTGTGAGGATTTGGTGGTTGATGAGGGGGGGGGG